CTGCGTGACGTGCATGTGAAGAAAAGGAGTGATTTCTACATCAAGGTCTCTATCTCGAAAACCACAAAACATTCAAATCTATTATTTTGCAGATCTTAGTTGAAGACCATAAACTATCTTATTGTAGTGTTTAAACAAAATCGGATAGTGTCGAGCGTGGAGTTTACATAGTTGGCATACAAGGTTCCTCAATTCGCTTTCGATCCACATACACAGAGACCAATAGCTAATAAGTCCTTATTTTGTCGGTCAACAAGTAGTCGAGTGGATAAAAACATCGCCTACTTGTAGTTAGTTGGTAGCGACTTCGCGCTTCAAGAATGGACTGGCCAAGTGGAGTTTTCAGGGTTTTTTTCCACCATTCTAACACCTAAATAGGATCAATTTGACATAAAAGATACCTCCTGGAGAAATCTTTTCTTTGTCAGATCTCCCACGTGTAGCTTTATACCAACAATCGATGAAAAATTTGCCAGATTATAGAAACCAATTTATTTTCTGAATGTAAATGAAATGAAACAAAATTGTCATAAGTTTAAGTATTAATTAATTAATTAATCGTTAAAATTTAGAATAATTTGAACTCGAACGCTGTTGCCATTGAACCGTACATTATACTAATAAAAAGTGGTACGCGTGGAAATACAGATGTATCAATTAAAAAGACCATCAGTGTTCGAGTGGATAAAACCACTGAACACTGGTAGTTGATAGTGGGTTTACGCCTGGGCAACGAGCTGACTACGTGGAATTTTCTAAGTTTTATTTACGTTTGTAACGCCCAAATAGGGATTTTTTTTCCGTAAAAGAGCTTCTGGGAGGCATCCCCTGGGCAGATCGTCCACGTATCGCATTGTCGCAACCAGATAAACTAAACCAATCATTTGTAAATATTATCCTCTGTAATTTATCTGAAGAAATTTTGCAAGATTTCATACACAACTCACACTAAATATATCTTTAAAAATGACTGTTATAAATATATATTAATTAAAAAGCAACAATGAAAATAATCTTAAATTAAACAATCTTAGTAATTAATTATTTTTAAATGCGTATTTACATAATAATGTAAAGTAATCATATTTACATAACGAAACTCCACAATTTTCATAATTATGTATCACGTACAGCATCATTATTAAGAGGCAACGAACTAAATGTAGGTAAAACCCTTTTAATTATGCTTCTATCGAATACAAAGTACACTCATCTTCCAAATTTTGTTCAAGTTCTTCATAAGAAACGATGCTTTTTATATAAATAGATTAAAATTGATAAAATTAAAGTTTAAAAATGTGAAAAAAAAACACAAATTATTGATAAAACAAATACTCGCTTATGCAATAGGAGAATCAGAACGTCGTGTTGTACGCTTGTTTCGAAATTACTACAATATTAAATACGTCATGATAAATAATTAGCTATAAACGTTACATAAACGAAAAAAATTTTAAAAATATCATTGCTTTCTTTATTGAATGACACTTTAAATATAATTTTGATTCTTATAAATGAATAAAGATGAGACTCCTATTTCGAGCAGAAAACATCTAAAAAAATTTTAATCTTATTAATAGGTTATCTTTGATAGGCATTTATTCACATTTTAAAAGTTTTATTGCAAATGTAATTTCTAATTCATCAAAATAAATTTATTTATGAATCAGTTTTAGTGATTATAATGACTATTTATTGTTATCACTCCGTATTATTATTTTTTTCCGGTTTGTAGCCGCTCACCAGTGTTCATATTATCCACCTGACTAAGAAGTTTCTAGGCTTTTCTTCAAATGTCTGACACCTTAAATAGAAGTAATTTTTTCATAATTTCCTCGGGAAGTTTCCCCTTTGGTTCGGTTTGGTGGGATAAGGGAATCCAAAGCGTGGAGATTTGCCAAGGAGGAGGTTTTTCTATAAGAAATTATTTCGGTGTTACATACCAGGAAACTCCATTTGGCTGGCCCGAAGGCGAGGTGCAAATCCGTGACCAAAGTACTCTGTCAACTGGAAGCATCTTCCACTAGCAGATCACCCGTGTTGCGTTGCTTTACCTCATGAACCTGTTCACTCTGATACAATAAAGAGTCGTTTTCTCTTTTAATCGCATTAACAATACTCTAAAATGAACAATCAAGTCTCATTACATCACAAGATTTCGATTTTCGATTAATAATTGTAATAAACACTAAATAAAGCTAGCATTAATATTATGATGCTGATCAGGGTCTATACTAGAGGCCGGACTATGTAAAGAAATATCATTTACTAAACGTATTTACAGGACTGAGTTTTTAAATATATTTGTAGAGGAATTATAATTATTGGATAACGAATAATTCTAATCACTCATAGAAAGTATAAAACAAGTTGACATAATTAAAACATAATCATTATTTTAAACAATTATTTTTACATCTCCTACACACAAGATTAGAAAATGGCATTAATAATTTTTATACCAGCTTGCCCAGCTAAATAAGTAGAATTGCTAAAAAACTTTCTTCTTGTATCTGTATGCTCAGGTACGTGGAATTTTCCGGGTTTTCTTCACGTGTCTAACACCAATTTCCCGTAGAAAGTCTTCCCGAAATAGGATCGCTAAGTGCTTGGGAATAAAATCCGGGACAAAATGAGTTCTTCTATCAATAGAAAGATACTGAAACACTCATTTCCAGGACATGCAATAGATATATAATTTTACTCTGTTAGTGACAGAAATACATTTAAAATGTGGAAAAACAAAAAGGTACTTTGTTGTAGGAACAGTTTTTAGAATAAATTCCTCCTGTTACTAGGTGGAAGTCGGAAAAAATCCGAGACAATTCCGGAAAATCGAAACATTTGACAACCTTCCTGGGAGATATCTTCCCCTGTTCAATTCTGTTTTCAATCGAAATCAAATCAAACCAAAAACACATAGAAACGCTCCCCGAAAGGCACACTCCTTTATAGATTGCCCTTATGCTACATTGTCTTATTAAAACATCTTGAATTACGTTAATACAGTAGAGTGTTGTTTATCCGAATCAATTGGGGACTGGGGTTGTTCGGATAACTTATTTTTCGGATAACCGATTATGTACGAAAAAATATATTAAGCTATCCCATCCTGAAATTTTTCTCCGTTGAGTGTCGCTTTGCGTTGAATTTTCGTCGATGTTAAGCCTAACGTAAACTTTTTAAAATAATAATCGTGGCTATTCGCAGTTTTCACCGGATGCTCGCCCTCTGGTGTTTAAAAACAAAACTATTCTATCTGGGTCGTTTGATTCATTCTTGTGTATTATCAGCAGTAAAGATGAAAAGCGATAGAAAAAGCAACGCTTACTGTTGGTTCCAAATTGCAATTTCAAAGCCTTACGAGAGCCTGATATAAGTTTTCGTCTATTCCCACACGAAAAACGGGAAAAACAGATGATTATTCGAAAATTGATCGGTTATATTTATGAGCTATAAATTCTGAAAGAGTGGATTAGACTGTTAAGAATTAACAGTTTCCTGATTGTCCAGCTTTCACAAACAAGTTATGCTATCAATTTTAAAACATTTTGTTAAAATTTAAAATGCCGGTAATTTTGTGTAGGACACAGGGCCGGATTTAAGCATTTCGAAGCCCTAAGCTGAACTCTGTAAGGCCCCTTACCAACCCTTCACAATTTTAGAAGTCAATCATAAAAAGAAAAGAATTAAATCAGACTATGACTCTGATTTAATACGGATATTGGAAGAAAAAGACGTGAGGTTTTACTAGTATTCTGTTTTATAACCAAGTTTAATTAAATTTTTATACCCATTCCATTAAAAAAATTTTTTTAAATTGGTTTAACATCGCAATTTTTTTTGAAGTCACACAGAAAAAACTCCATAGTGACATACTTCACTTTGTTCATTCAGCATCCATGGGCATCACCCACTTGTTCAAAAACATCTGACCAAAATTACAGTATATCAAATATATTTATCATCATTTATCTGTCAATGAAACCTAGATTAAAAATAATAATTTACTGATAAAAACAATAACCTGATAATTTGTTGACTCTTACATTTCTAATTAAAATACTCATATATTTATTTAAAACATTAGTTCAGTAAATTTTCATTATAAAAAGAGAATAGTGTGAGAATTTTTCCAAATTAGAAAGTGTTAGCAGAATTTTTATTACAAGGTCTGTTCAAAAAATAACCAACTTTATTTTTTTAATTTTTATTCTTCAAGTTACAGATTATTGGTCCTTGTCCCCTTCAAAGTACTCCCCTCCCCTATTCACACACTTATCCCAGCAATGTTTCCACTTTGCAAAGCAGTCCTGGTAAGCTTGCTTCAGACTGTCCTTCAATGTTTGTGACAAATTTGTTTTAATGTCATCAATTGTGTCAAAATGACATCCTTTCAGCACTGATTTTAATTTTGGAAACAAGAAAAAAATCACAAGGAGCCAGGTCTGGTAAGTTGAGAAGTTGGGAAGGACAGTCATGTGATTTTTGGCACAAAACTGGCAAATTGACAAGGCTCAGTGAGCTGGTGCATTTGTCATGGTAAAGGCACCATGAGTTGTCTTGCCACAACTCTGGTCTCTTTTTGCAAATTTTTTCACACAATTGTTTCAAAACACCTGCATAGTACTGATGGTTGACTGTTTGACCTCAAGGCAGAAATTCAAAGTGCACAACTCTAATTTTCTGAATGTGAGTGTCATCAGTTGAGGTTGAAGGTTTTCCTGGTCAAGGGTCATCTTCAACTAATTGATGACCACTTTTGAATCAGGTAACCATTTGTAACACAGCGTATGACCTGGAGCATCACCTCCATAAGCTTGATTCAAAAATTGAATTGTTTCCATATAGTTTTATAAGAAACTTCACATTGTTTCATGAAAACTTCACATTGCATCATTGCTCCTGTAAATCACACATTGCAAAAACCACCTTTCACTCAAAAAACAATAACGTGGGAATGAAATGAGATATTAACAATNATAGTCGTACAGTATAAACACGTATGGTAGAAGTACGTTTTTGAATTATCGGTGACTTAATTATGAATATAATATCTCACTTATATGTTTAATTTTACTTTCATGTATTGTTCTTCTGGAACCTGCTGCGAGCCATAAAACCGCTTTGCAAGTATATAGTAAGTTACCTACCCCTATATCAGAATATTATTATATCAATAAATTTGTCAATTATTTTCTGTGATAAAACTTCAGTTAAATTTTGATTTAGCGCCATCGATTTCCTCTGAAATGGCATTGAGTATTTTGTCTTCCATCCGGTGGCATCTCCAGCCTCTAAAAATGAAACTTTTATTTTTATAAAATTCATAACTTATAAGTGAGTTTGTGTTGCAAGATATCAAATTAAAACAAACTTAGTGGAAGACAATGATTTTAGGGAAAATCTCCTGTTAAAAAACTCGTCACAATACTTATCAATACGAGAAGCACATCGGAAGTCCGTAAAAGATGGTTATTTCTGCTAGATACTTACTACAGGATGTTATATTTAGCGATGAAAAACGTGATGGAAACACGTAAATATAGATGTTAAAAACTATTTGACACCTCCCTGTAGTTTTCAATAATATGATCAAACTGTTTAAGGAAGCTATTTCTGGATCTAACAAGTTGATCGAAAAATTGTTGTAGAATATTTCATATGAAAATTATATCGAGTTTCATGAAAATATTATTATTATAAGTGATCGCGTATTACATAAATTTAAAGTTATTAATATTTTATGAACAGTGTTTATTCAAACACATAGAAATCCGCTGCTGTTTATATGGGTATTATATAAAGATTGATTGTTTGTTATTCAGAAATAGCTCTAGAATTTGTAAAATATTGTTATAGAAACCTGAAAATTGTTTTCGTAATTTCTTAATGCTGAAAATTAAATACAAGAAAAATTATTCACCAAATTTGTATTTATTTCTTATTCTAAAGTAGGCATGGAAAACAGTACCATAGATTTTCTTGAAAGAAATTCTACTAATAATAATACAACCGAATACTATATTAACGAACATCTAAAAAATGCTCGAAATATTCTTCCAATATTTACTGTGATAATCACAATGATTGCTATTGGAGCGGATGTTTCTTGGAATCAGGTATTCACATTTTTCAACTCTCTCATCCTATTAATTTCTTCTTACGAATATTTTAAATAATATATTTTATATACAAATAGATTTATACAGGGATTAGGAAACCTATTGGACCTGCCATTGGACTCTTTTGTCAATTTATTATAATGCCATTAATTGGATTTCTTTATAATATTATATTTCAATTTGAATCAAGTGTTGCGGCTGGTTTGCTTATTATATCCTGTTGTCCCGGAGGAACAGTTTCCAATATGTTTACATATTATTTGGATGGTGACGTCTCACTTAGGTATGTATGAATCATTTAATTATTTATCTACATTGTCGTAACTAGCTTTTCACGTGCCCTGTATTTTTGACTTCCTGTTTCTTGGAAAAAGAATATATAAAAACAAATACAATAAAAATAACACTGATCGCTTTTGATATCCCGTTTTAGGGCCCTCCTCCTTCTGCGCCCCCGTTGCACCTACCTATTTACAGCACTGTTTTATATTTGCATTCCACATTAATGTTTACAATTTTACAGCGTGACTATGACTACAATATCTATCGTGGCGTCTCTTGGCATGATGCCTTTGAATCTTTGGATGTATGCAAGGAATACAGGAGCTAAGAACTTAATAATACCTTATGGCAATATTGCATTATCGTTATTAATGATTGTTTCCCCCATAACAGTGGGCATGATCATAAAATGGAAAGCTCCTAAGATAGCTTCTTATATCACTAAGGTATGTAACACTCTTCGACGTCTTTCCATTATTTATTTTAATCATCTTATTTGTTATTTTTTCGTTAACAGTGGGTAAATGCTATAGGTATGATTTTTGTCATAATTATTTTGATAATATTGATAATTATGTACAAACACATGTTTGCTACAGCATCGTGGAAAATTTTTGTAACTTCCGCATTTTTACCAGCAACTGGAATAATAATTGGATATGCTATAGCATTCATTTGTAAAAGGACCAAATCAGCTTGTACCGCTATCGGTATCGAAAGCGGAATTCAAAATTATGCTGTGGCATATGGTATTATTCTGTTATCCTTCGATATCAACGTACGTTTCTTATTTTTAATTTAATTAAGATTTATGATATCTCTAATTAAAATAAGAATTATTATTTATAGAAAGATGCTTCGATTTTCATATTTCCAATGTTTCATGCAATCTCTCAATGTTTAATCTGTTTTACTCTATGTGTAATTTACCATTTTGTCAAGAAGAATTGGAAAACTTCACAGTTG